ACACGTGCCTGCTTGTCGCAAATGAAACGTGGCCGGTAGATGGATGCAGGCAAGTTCTCTCTGGAATACAAGAGGGAGGCTTCCACCCATTCTGGGAAGATAAGTCTCGTTTCAGGTCACTTTCCACCACCTTCTCCAGGTCCCTCGTGCACTCAGCCCGTGAGCGCCTCAAGAGCAAGGTCCAACGGAAACAAAGGGGATCCTGCAGAGTCAGCTGAATTTGAGGCCAAGAGGTCACTGGCTCTGAAGGCTATCTGTGATGCCACAGGGGTCATTTGGATAGGGTTTTCTCAATGGGCAGGGTGACCAAGGGGCCGATTATGAAGAAGTTCAGTTTTGAGCAAGCTGAGAGCTGCACTGGGGAGCAAGGGGCAAGGAAGGCAGGCCGAGGAATTTCATCACAATGAGCACTTGCTCATTCTCTGGAGGCAGGAAGGGCTATCCTATGAGGAGCCATTGGGAACCTGATTCCATCCACCTACAGGCCTAATATTGCCCGTTGGGGCTTCTTTTTTCTCTCCCTAAACTCAAGGAATGTTGAAAAGGAGCACAATTTGAGTCCCTCAAGGAAGCAGAAACTGCAGCGAGCCCGTTGGGGAAGGACCAATGAGCTGGAAACCCCACCTTCTGAAGTAGACAGCCCTAATGGAGGGCATGTGGAGAAATCACAGCTTCCCATTTGGGCATTTTTATTTAATAAAGGTGCCTATGATTTTACAGCCATACCTTTTTACTAACCCTCATGCACTTAGTGACGGGAGTCTGGCTCACACACAAGGATGTGTCAGCTACCCCAATAGTAGCTTACAGTCCAGGAAATTAAGCAAATGTGCACCCACTACTTGCACGGCATTGTGCAAATATTGAGCCTAAAGAACAAAGAACTAAGGAGAATCCTGACTGACACCTGTCCTCGCAACAGCGTGGCGTGGGTAGACTGATTCGCTATTGCCCTAGACAAACAGGAGCAGACTGACAGGTGGAAATAACAGAGAGACAGCTCCAGTGAACTAAGAACCATTTCTGAATCACTCCCTCCACCCAGCAGCAGGACTGCCGTCTCCTGGCCTAATCACATGCCCCTCCTGTGGTGCTGAAGCGGAGCTGATCATCAGGGGGAGCAAGGACAATGCAGCGGGCTCAGGGTTTGCCCTTGGCCAGGCACTGTGCTAGCACTGCATGCTGTCTCGCGGGTCCGTCACAGCGTCCCCACTCTGCACGCTCCTGCCTGAGTCACAGAGGGGAAAAGAAGTCCTACGCTGCTTAGAACGTTGAAATGACTTCTGAGGCATCTACAAGCCCAGGCTATCTGGTTTTCATTACTATAACACTGGAAATTAAAAGCATCTTTGGCTTCTACATTCTTATAGAAGGAATGCTCATTCCTGGTTAGTCATTAAACTACTATGATGCTTATCCAAATAAGGTAGCCCCACCATTCAAACAACTCTGCTCCTATGAAACGAACATCGGAAATCATTCTGCGGAAACTATTAAGGTGAGGGACGACTCATGAGGCCTCCCCATCTCCACCCCCCACCCCTCCCCTCACTGCCCAAGTTCTAATCCCAGCATCTTCACGAGCGAGGTGGGCTCCGTTTCCCCATCGCTAGACAGGGAGGAACCACAGTAATGCCTGACGGGGTGCCAGCGAGGCTAAGTGAGACAACGCAGGGCCTGGTGCTCTATGAGAGCCCATCAGTCTGAGCGAGCACCAGGGCCGTGCCCGCCCCTCACAGACCTGCTGAAAGACGTCCTCCGTGGAGTGGCGCTTGGCCCCGGAGTGAAGCGACTGCACGTGGGCGCCCTCGCTGTCACTGGTGGCAGACGACCGGCACTCGGGGCCGTGCAGCAGGTCGTCCCACAGCATGTCCTCCGTCTCCGAGTCATGCCGCGTGCTCTCCGAGTCCCTTCGCGCCACGCTCACGTGCTGAGAGCCACCGTTCATGCCGGATCTAGAGCCCTTTGGAGGGGAAAGGGTTAGCGGGTTCGTTCATGTCTGAAAACAGTTGCACGTCTGAAGTGAAAGGAGCGCGCGTTTTCCACGGCCGTGGCGAGCGAGCATCCCTAAGTCAGTCACCAGGCATTCATCGGCACGTCCCCGCAGTCCACTGTGACATCCACATGGGAAATGCCGTCGAGCACCAGCTAGCAGGGTGGCTGAAAGCACCCCGTCCGTCTAAGAGGATCCTTGGGGCGCACTAACCCCGGCAGTGTCCTGGGGTGGGCGACGACTCCAGCAAACACACGCAGAGGGCGCCCTAGTTGCCCCCGCTGTGTTCCTGGCACACCCAGAGTGTCCCCGACTGGAACTTGTGGGCTTCCCGCAGATGGGATCATGCCCCGGGCTCAGCACCAGCATGGACAAGGGCAGGCGATCCAGCTCTGCTGCAGCGCAGCCAGAAATGCTCTGGCGCGGTCGCTGAGTGTCGGCTGCCAACTGCAAGGTCAGAGGTTCACACTCACCAGCTGTTCCCAGGGAGAAAGACGAGGCTGTCTGCGCCTGTAAAGATTTTCAGCCTCAGAACCCCGCACAGGGTTGCTATGACTCAGAACCAGCTGAATGGTGGAGGTAAGTACACACTTTGTCACTTCTGAGTCATAATGTTCCACATGTGCCGGTACGTCCACTGTTCTCATGGTGAGACTATGCTTCAATCTTTCTCAAAAAGCTGTCCTCGTCAGTGGCAAGCTCACTCCCAGAGGAATTACGGGTCACAAGGAAGAGACAAGCTAGCCGGGGTGCAGGACAGCACCGACGCGACACACAACGTTCCTCTGCTTCGCCAGCGCTCCCTCCCCCGCTATCATGACCCCAGAGCATGTGCATTTGTACAGACAGAGCTCCCAACACACGGTGTCCAGGACAGATAAACCCCTCAGAAACAATAATGGGAGTAGCGATGGGGGTAGGGGAAAGCAGTAGGAGAAGAGGGAGAAAAGGGGAACTGGTCGCAATGATCGACATAAGACCGGCCCCCAGCCAAGGGGGATGAACAACAGAAACGTGGGTGAAGGGAGACAGCGGTAGGTGTAGATGTGAAAATAATAACAGTTCATAAATTATCAAGGGTTCATGGGAGAGGAAGGGAGGGAGGATGGGGGACAGAGGGAACAAAATGAGGAGCTGATACCAAGGGCTCAAGTAGAATGTTTTGGAAATGATGGCAACATATGTACAAATGTGCTTGACAGAATGGATGTATGGATTGTTCTAAAAGCTGTAAGAGCCACCCCCCAAATGATTAAACAGAAGAAACTCCCTATTGTGAATGAGTAACGTCATCCATCAGAGACCGCGTGATCTCTCTCTGAGCACCATCCGAGATGCCAGTGATGAGGATGAAAGGGCATACTTGAGACAGCGTTCGCTCTCTTTCTGCTGAGGGTTGGGGTGGGGGACAGGAGCAGAGGATGAAAAGCTGTTAAGCAGAGGAGCTCCTGGAAAAGATGGAGAAAGGCCAGGGCTTGAGCAAATCTAACCACCACCCTGGGCAACCAATGTTGAGAAAGGACTGGCTAAAGTTATTGTGTTGAAAATACTCCTGTGAACCTTGATCTCTCAAAAGGGTACTTTACCTGGCTGAAGGCTGCTGATTCAAATTCTGAGTCAGCCACGCTATCTGAATCCCGCACCAGATGACACCACCTTGCAGTGGTTTTCTTTGCCTGCCAAAAAGTAAACCCACAACCACAGGAAAACATGTTATGTGCGCCGCCGCGTGACTCATCCATCGATTCAGGATGCAACTCCAGAGCTTTCACAAACTCCGAGGGACATCACCTGAGAGTCAAGGCGCCGGGACAGAATTGACTTTCTATTCTTAACTTCACAGCCATTGTCACTCGAGGCGCCTTCCACGCTCCTACGCAGCAAAGTCATCTGTGTCAGGGCATCGCCGTCTTCCTCGCTCGACAGATCGTCTGAGACCCCGTTATTCATGCAGCGAAACGCCTCCTACAAAGAGCAGAGCAACACCTTCGCATCGGGTGGTGCGTGACTTTGCAATCAGCAAAGTCCTTCCAAGTACACAACACTAAGCGGAACCGATCTGCGCGTTTCGTGACAACAGCACAGAAAAGCAATGGACCTGAAACCACGCGGCGCGAGTGTGCAGGCGGCATGCCATATTAACCTTGTGTGGCTGCGGCTCCCTCACAGCTCCACTGACTGGTAACAGAACCTTGGGCAAGCCACCAGACCTGGCCGGGGCTCAGACCACTCATCTGAAAAGTATCCCCCATCGTCATGCCTGCCTCCCAGAGGACGGACAGTAAGACGTTAGTACAGGCAAAGCATTTGGGACCATGCCCGACTTCAAGATCGATCTGCCGGCTTTGCAATTTTCAGGTGCCACAGACTAAAAAACACCAGATGACCTGGGAAGGCTATGAAATAGAACGGTGGCTATTTTTCAGAGGAAGAGCGGCAGGCCTCTCTTCCTAGGCACCTCTGGGTAGACTCAAGCCTGCAACTTTCTGCTAGCAGCCGAGCATATTAGCCATAAGCCAAGCCATCGCAGCCCCCAGGGACTCCCGCCATGGCTCTCCCTCTGGTTTCGGACGAGGGTGCTCTAGGCTCCTCTGTTGGTTCAATCCACTGTGAAGGAGGATCAGCAGCAGACTTGGTAACAGGCTGGAGCCCCAGAACGGAGTCCCCAGAGCATGACGGCTAAACACTTGCTATTAGCACAAAGGAGGACCCTTTGACCCCGCGTGGCAGCGTCCCATAAAGAGGGCGGTCTAGGAAATGCTATGGGGCAGTTCTGCTGTGGCCTGGAGGGTCACTGTGAGCCAGAATCAATGTGACTGCACAGCAAGTCCTGAAAATTATAAAAATTTACCTTTACCATTGACGTTTTTATGTCCAGAAGGTTGTGACGTCACATTTCTTCTGTAAGTCAAGTTATGTAAACCGCAGGGAGCTCGGGAATGTTTGTGGGGAATAATCACATCTTTTGATTCTAGTTTTCAAGCCATGTGAAGCCCCACTAGTCGGGAGCAGACTCGGAAGGTCTCCTCTCCCCACGGAGGGAAGACAACACACACAATCTCCATCTTACCTTGCGAGACTTGTCTCCGTCCGAGAATTTTGCTCGCTCCCTTCCTTGCCACATCCTAACCTCTGGCTGGCATTCTCGCTTCTTAATGATAGGATGCAGACAACTGGCATCACTCTCAGTTTCAGTCCCTCGGTTAGTGAGTAGTTTTACTTTCTTCCTCCTGCTTTTGAAAAAGGGGGACATGGCTAACCAGTTTCCTAGAAACTGCCTCTTTCACGAGATCGCTTCTTCTGAGGAGTCCGAGATGTTATTCTGGAAGCTGGGAAAATCCAGAAATCACATTTGTCAGGGAAATTATAAAAATAGGGCAGTGAGCCCTATTCTCCAAAGACTCATGCCAGCTCGCCGGAAGCCTTCCCCTTTCAACCGAGAAGATCCACTCCCAGGAAATCAGCTCACCAACGTCTCCACTGCCACTCTCAGACACGACGCTGACCCCCTCCTCCAGGCGCCTATCACCCACTTCACAGACGCCGCTTCCATCTGCGCACGTGCTACCCTGCTGCAAAAGCCAGCCGCCTCCGCCCCGCCCTGATGACCTGGGAATAACCAGGCCCGTCTGCTGTTGGACCCTGCACAATCTGGAACCACGTACAGGGTCTCATGTGCCCCCTTTCTGTGCTGCAGTCTGTCTGCAAGAGGGGCTGCCCGGCACCCCATTTCTAAAGAGGTGTCAGCTTGAAGCCATCTTTAGAAATTCTTCTTTCTCTCAAGATGCTGGCCAGGAAGTTTTAAAGTATCTGCCCTGCAGAGTCTTTGCGTTTCTGGCATCCTGCAGTCTGAAAGTCACTCGAGACCAAACAGAAGGAATCTTTTACGGGGGAAAACTGGAGTTGAGAAAACATGGCAGCAGAGATATTTTGAGTACACAGATTTTTCTAGATTCCTTAAAACTCATACCATAATGAAAATGTGCTCTTGCCTTGTTTACACAGATGGCCAAGTTATATTGCAATGTAAGCCCTCCTGTAAATAGGACATCATGTAAGACTTCTCACCTGTTGCCAAAGAGAGTCCCCCAAAACCCACCAATGAAGGGCACAGATCCCAAAGACTCGATTCCTCGGACTCTATCAGAAGAGGAGCTATTCCCATTTTCTCGGTTCCCATCGCCATTCGCTGTTTTCCGTAATTTTCTGAAAAACAAAACAAAACAATGACTTCAGATTACTCAAGACCTTTTCTATTGCTGCCTAAACATCCTTGGAGACCACTACCCAAAACTACGTGCGGTGCACATCACAGCCCAGATTATGGAAGAACAGCTCTAGTTGAAAAGTAATAGCAGCTACATGGCAGAGGAAGCAACCAGGAACATTGAGCATTAGCATAAACTACTAATTATATATAAGATTAGTATACATTAGTAAATATGATACATTGCAAAGTCCTGTACTAGCATGTTTTCTTAAGTCATGAAAGGTTGAGAACAGCTATTCAGCAACCTTACTAGAAAGAAAACTGTCCCATGAATCCACCAGTCTTTTCACACACACGAACAAAAGGGCCAATTTCTTAAAATACGAACAGCTTAAAGAGGAAAAGGACCCTTTTCAGGGAGGCAGAGTCCCAGCAGGCTAATGGGCTACATAAGCCCGAGTCTCCACAGCACTGAGAACTGGCCAGTGCCCGGCTACCACGACCACCTGCTCAGCAAGAGATCGTGGGAGAGGGTCTGGAAAGAGCGGGGGGAAACGTGGAACAAAACTCAAAACCAGAAAAGAGACCAGGCTCGCTGGTTGGACAGACTGGTGGAATCCTCACGACGATGGCCCTTAGTCACCTTCGGGTCTAGAACTAAACTCCGCATCAATGGCTCAATGTTCAGCCAAACAGACAGGCGTATAAAGGGAGCAGTAACACTAGGGCAGGACACACCTTCAAGTAATCCACCATTTAAGATCAAAGGGCAACATTTGTCCACAAAGTTCAGAAGGCGGCGAAAAGGAGGCGTGGAAACAGGAAACACAGGAAGGACGGACGATACGTGAAGGTCTACTGAGGGGATCAAGGAATAAATGAGATGAACCAACAGGTGCATCAATTGTGGGATGTAAACTGATCCGCGGCTCCCAGAGCCTGCGCCTGACTCATGGTACACAGTTACAGGGAAAAGAAATCTGCCCTCTGGGCACACTCCATCACAGGCGTGCAAGCGATGGTCGCAGGTCACTTTCTCCAAAGAACCTAGAGCGTTATAAAATACATTCTTTATCTACCAATGAGACACAGCACAGCAGGGTTTCCTTAGAGCATATTAAATAGATTTAACGTCATTTACAAGAAATCTTTCTGAGGGTAAAAAAAAGTTTGTAAAATAACATTCAAAAACAAATATGTTGAACTTTATTAAATACCATAGAAAAGTCGAACTTAGTAACTGATTTGGTACACAAAAATTGGCGGGTATTTTGAGGAAGGACAGTTGAACTTTTGGGAAATACCACCACCTAAGAAACCTTTCAGCAGCTCCCAAACTCACACCTACCGAAGAACCAATAGAAGCCTGCCCTGACTCCAGTGTGTGAAAGCAGTCCAGGGAATCTTTATTAAACACTCTGGATCCTCGAAGATCCATTCTTACGCATGTTTGAAAAGAGGTTAACATTTTGCACAGCACTCATACGAGGTGCTAAGCCCTGTATACACAGTGAATGGTCGCCCCGTTCTGAGTGAGACTGAATTTCAAAGAACTCCTCTTCAGAAGCCTTCTGTGAGATAAGGAACAATCTGGCATGGGGGTTTCCTTTTAAATCATTGTACCTTTGGAAGGACAGAATCCCACCTGGACACACGTTAAAAGTTCCTGAGGTTGTTTCTTACCATCAGGGAAAGAAGCTAAAAATCAATACTCCACTTTTTAGACCACATAAATAGATAATGGGAAGTATACGCAAAAGGTTCTTAATTCGTGTTGCCGAATATTCTTAAAATCTCTATCAAGAGCTTCCAGAAAATACCAGAACAAGTGTAACATGACCTCTCACCTCCTTCGTCGGTTTCCATTGCTGCCCGCAGGCTTGGCGATCTGGGTAGACACAATCTGACAGTGGACAGTCCCCATAAGCAGCATAAGGCACAAGGGTCCAAGTACTTCGCTGATGTTCACAAGAGGCATCATTAAATAGAGCACAATTGCAAGAACTGAAAAGGAGAAGTTTTAAAACGTCACGCCCTAGGGCTCATCATTAAAGTGGATTCTAGTGCTCGCTTCGGCAGCACGTATACTAAAATTAAAGTGGATTCTATTAACTACACAGATTACATTGACAAATCTCTTGTCACTTTAAAAAGCCCCTACTCAGAGTGAGAAGTTGATGCCCGAGAGCTGGAAGATCCCCGTGCAAATGAAAAGGACCCGTTACAGAGAGCTGTTGCCTCTCGGCAGTTTGGCAGTAGAGACATTCTAAAAGGCTTTTCCAGCACAACGTAACTACATGCTGGAGCAGACATGGGTTTTGAGGTGGGGGGTCTGCTCCAAGGAAGAGTATTTTCCAAGGCCTACAGAAACAGGTGGCAATCAGCACAAGTGGGATCTGAACCCACGAAGCTAAGACTCCAGACTCCTCCCTGTTACTCTTGTTATAGTACCTCACTGCATACATATGTATATGAAATGATTAACGAGATCAGTGATGAACTAGCAAAATTGTTCTACAAAAATTTACAAATACCTGATTTTATAGATGGTTCTTTCAGATCTGAACATAAAGACAATTCTTATATGACATAAACTGAACTATTCTCATGTGGGGGGTCGGTAGCTAGGAGTCAGAAATGCTCAATGGCAGTGGGTAGGTATTTCAATATATGTGTGGGGTGGGGGGTGGGGGGGGAGTGATCAAATGTATCTTATGCCTGATGTTGCCCTCACCCTCAAGTGTGACAACAGCATCCAAACAGCAAACCACAGGCCCTGCTCACTTGTGAATGTGGCTATACATTTATCACTAAAATGCATGTGCCAAGGAGGTGGGAGTTTTGTCTGCCTGGATCACTGCACACCTATAATCGGCACATAATAATTAGCACCCAGTAAGCACCCAGTATTTATTGAATGAATGTGCTATCAGACTGAATTTGATAACACAGCTAACGAGCAATTCATTAAGACCACAGCAGGTTCATGAAGCCATGTTGGGCTGCTGTGAGAGGGCACCGACGTGATGACCGTGAATTTGGGTTTGGGTTTACACAGGGTTCCAGCTGAAAGCACCAGGACAGAGCATCCGCCTCAGAGCTGGAGACAGTACCTGGCCCAGTATGTGTCTGTTGACTATTCTAAATGAATCTAAAGACCTACTATAATGTGACATTTATCACACCTACACAAATCACCTCAACTGACGGTGAAATGGCCTTTCATGATAATCCATATTTGTTCCTGATTTGCAATTACACATAAACGCTAGTTTCCTGAAAAACACTAGAGAAATATGTCCTTATTAGTAAAGATGTTTTAAAGCAGGAACTTAATAAGGATGACACCTCTTATTGTATTTTTGTTTTTGACACCACTTATTGTTATCGCTTAACACGATTCTGAAAATGCGGCCTAATTTAATAAACACAAAATAAATTAATCAAGAGAGGTGAGATTACTATTTTTTCCAACAATGCAGTTGCATAATTTAAAAATCTAATAGAGATCATCAAAACCTCTTCGGATGAGAGCTTAATAAAAGTTATGAATTAGCTAGCTAAAATCTGAGAAACAGTCTCACATCTGCTGACAAAGAACATGTGAGTTTAACAGGTCACTATGATCTAAACACGCTCCATACCCACCGCCATCGAACCCACTCTGCGTGAAGGTGAGCCTGCAGAACAGAGTAGACCCGTCTTCACAGAAGCCCTGCGCTAGCTTCCGTGGGAGGGCACTGGCTGGTCCACGCTGGGGACCTTCCCTTCGCTCAGGGCATTCTGACCACCGTGCCATCAGAGCTCCGCTAGCTTATGAAACAGGCCTGGTGGATGTGCGGGGCGGGACTACTGAGAAAGTCTCGAACCCCCCTCCATGAGAGCCACATCTTACACCTGTGCCCGAAGAAGCGGACAAATGGCAAGTAGGTGGAAAGCCTTGGCCTTAAGTGAACAACGAAGAGAGGAGTAACCGATGGCACCCGAGAGGGAAACCAGACACAGACCAGGCAGGGCACTGTGATGTAAGAGCAACTAGGTGGCCTTAAAGGAGTGGAGCAAAGGAATGGCATAAAATGGCTCCTGTTTCTAAAAGCTATCTCTAATAGCTATGAAGAGAGTGGTTGGAAAAAGTGGGCCAAGTAATCTTGTCCCAGCGGTCTAGGCAGAGATTCTGTCAGTGTGGACTATCATGGTGACGGAGAGGTTAAGACAAAGTCAAGAATATTTTACAGGGAGAACGTGACAAACGTGGTGACTAAGCAGATGTGAGAACTGATCAGAGTAGATGATTTAATTGTTCCCTTTAAAACTGGGTCGTGCCAGTGGTGAAAGTGGCAATACAGGGAGGATGGAGGGAGGGTGGGGTGGAAAGAGTGAACAGCATACAAGGACCTACATATAACCTCCTCCCTAGGGGACAGACAACAGAAAAGTGGGTAAAGGGCGACATCGGACCGTGCAAGATATGACAACATAATTTATAAATTATCAAGGGTTCATGAGGGAGGGAGGAGTGGGGAGGGAGGGGAAAAATGAGGAGCTTGCCAGGGGCTTAACTGGAGAGCAAAAGTTTTGAGAATGATGAGGGCAATGAATGTACAAATGTGCTTTACACGATTGATGTACGTACGGATTGTGATAAGAGGTGTATGAGCCCCTAATAAAATGATTTTTTTAAAATAGTAAATGAAAAAAAAAAGAAGAATAAAATCGACCAAACATGGAAAAAAACAAACAAACCTGGGTCCTGGATTAAAGATTAATGAGAGGGGGCAGACCTAACGAGGAACAAGTTTGTGCACAAAAAAGTTCCATTTGGAACGTGATTTAGCTCAAGCTATCCATTAAATCTCCACAGGGAAATGTTAAAACCAGAAGTGAAGATTAGAAGTCTGAAGTTTAGCAGTGAGCTCTGGGCTAAAGATATAAACTTGAGAATCACCAGTTGTCAGTGATATTTCAGGAAAGGGAATTTGATGAGATTACCCAGGGAAGAGTACAGGACCCAGGATCCAACCTTGAGGCAAGGTGACCTTCAGAGGTCAGAGAGCCGAAAACACTGAGGCTGCGTTTGAGGGAGGTATTAGACAGGTGCAAACAAATTCCAGCTGGGAGGGGAGTCATCCAGTGTGGAACCGAATAAGTAACTTGAGGATGAACGCCGAATAGCATGTGTTCTTGCATTTCCTTGCATGCTACCCTATCGACTGAGAGAGTGGACATGAGAGCAATACTGCCTTCATTAACCAAGAGCAACAGCAGCTGACGCCAACTCCTCCAATTACCTTGCATGAGGTAAAGCAGTAACAGCCAAATGAAGATCCTCTGAGAGGTGACCTGAATCCACCAACTGCTGAACAACGGGAAAAACACAACTCGAACCAGCCCCTTCCGGGTCAGAGATGTCCATGGAATCTCGGGTTTGGCTTTGGCAAATGTTGAGCCTTTGAAGACACAAGAAAAATAAAGCCTCAAACATCGATGTACACAATACTTGCCACATCATATCCATACAGAGGACCAAGCGAAAGTCAGAACACGGCCCATCCGGTTTTAGAGGAATTCTTTAGGTCTGTGTTAAATGCAGTAACTTCCTTCCTCAATCACTGGGCTCACGTGAATGGTACGCAATACGTTCTTCTTACTCCAAGAGCAGGTCTCCAAGGGTGTCGCTTTCACCTTTATAAAGACCATGTGGTGAACAGCACTAAGGCAAAGGGGGGAAAATACTAAAGCCTGAATGAATGAGGACCGTGAAACGACAAGGAAAGAAGGTCACGTCCATTAAATTAAAGGACATCATCACTTAAGAAAGACTGCCAATATATATATTTAAATCTTTAGTAGTATAAAGTTATGAGATAATAGACTAAAGAAACTCACCTCTGATTAAGTCGACATCAATCAAGTCTGGCTTTATGTGACCCATCTTTTTCGGTTTATTTTTGAAGCCCTAGAATATGAGACAAAACCATAAACCAACAATAGGGCTGGGGAGCCCAGTTAAATGAGAAAAAGAAGCACATTCTCTTTCAATTAAACAACCCACAGTCATCAAGTAGATTCCAATCCTATCGCTCTTTACTGGAGCTAATAGCCTCCTCTTTCTCCCACAAAGCAGCTGGTGAGTTTGAACCACTGACCTTAAGGGTTAACAGTTCAATGCTTACCTGGCAGCATCATAGGGCTTCCTGTTTCCCTTTTACCTGGGATATTTCAATGCAAATGCTCACCCTCAGGTAGACACAGTGCCTTGCCTCCTGCCTGACTGTGGTAGACAAACATTCAACAACTACTTGTTAAATGAATGAAGGCTACATAATGTCTACACTAATCTGGGGGATTCCTTTCCGGCTTTACTTGGCCTTATTACTGTTTCCTTTCTCTAGATTCTTCATCTATTAACCTAATCCACTCTAAAGGCAAGGAAACCCAAACTAGGATCAACTTCAGTAACTGCACTGCACAAAACCTATGTGGGAAAAGCTAGCCAAGTACCACTGGCCTACAACGGTCATGCAGTTTAAGGATGTCGGTGAAATGCGTTTCACCAATGAGATCGTAACATCCAGGTTCCATCAATGTCAACTCGATGTCCATGGGTTTTGTTTTGTGTCTGGTAAGTAGCCACCTGGAGTACCTGAGTGGAGCGAGCAGGTAAGCACCTGACTAACTCAAAGGTCTGGACTCACGCAAAAGCCCCTGTGAAGAAAGGCCTGGCGATGTGCTTCAGAAACCTGTCTGGAAACCCCAGCGGAATTCGACTCCACTCTGTACCATGGCAACCAGCTTTTTAGTTCTGTTTTTGAAGTAGCTAACTACATGGGACTTCTGCTATTTCTGAGACATCTGCTCTCCAATTCATCACAGCCCCAATCACTCCAATATCCCTGACAGTGAAGTCCAAACTCAACTGCCAAGCATCATTACGCTTTCACTACTGTTTTTCTTTAAATGTTTTTAAGGAATAAAGAAGTGCCATGCTTGCTAAGAAGGGATAGTGTCCATTTTAAAAACAGCAATATGAGCACTGCTGTCTTCACATTAATGGAATAAAACAAAGCTAGGATAGCAAAGAAACCAATTTACCTTAATCTGAGTCTGCTCGATGGACTTTTCCCATATCTGCTGATCATATGCACCAATCTGAAATAAGCAGCAGGCTATGAAATGATGCAAAAGACAGTCCCACATTGAAGTCACGTGTCCTAAAAGCCATGCAACTATTATGTATCAGCCTGGTATCTGAAAAGGTTTGTGTTTTCAGAGTGAGAAGAAATGGATATTTCCGAGAACGGTTTCCTTCGAGACTCAAAACTAGCTGCTTCTAAAAATAAGTCTACAATATTATGCCTCAAATATTTCACAGGAAATAGAAAGGTATTTCCACTTTTTAAGGAAACCTCAACAGAATACAGAGGAAGACAAAGGCAATACCAGCTGCAGAAGGCTGTGGGCAGACGGAACTGAGCTGTGGGAAGAGAGGTTTCGTGGCCTGGTGAAATATGGGAAGCAAACTTTCAGAACATGGGCCTGGTGTTATAAATGCAGGCTCGAGAAAGGGCTTGATAGTCATCATCTGCGACCTGGAACTAGGTTTAAAAAAAACAGTGACCTTGTACAGAGGTCTTTGCATTTGTGCTGAAAAATACAATAAAATACAATGATACCGGCCCAAGAAAAAGTACACTGGGAGGGTTCGTTGGGAACGCTTTCTGCAGGAACTATGCTTTACAAATTTATAAAAAATTGGCAATTACCTTCTTCTGATACCACGATATAGCATCTGTCTCATTTGAGGCCATTTGGTTCTCCAGCCAAAGAATGGGATTTAGCTGAAAATGAAGGGAGATCCGTTGTTGAGCCGGCTGCCCTGGGGCTCTGCCAGTTGCGGGAAGCCTGGGAAACCGCTTCTCCCAGCCCTCCACCGGCTCCGTCTTTCTCCGGCGCTTTGCCAGGGAGACGCAAACCGGCGCAGTGGCGGCCTGAGAAAGCT